ATGGTTAAGCAGTATCTATAAAACTCATTAACTCTAGGAGGTTCAATAACAGCCGTTAGAAGATTCATAAATGAAGAGGAAGATGTGGGTCTCATTGCTATTTTTTCAGGTTTGTGGAACTAGCTTGTGGTTGGGACATTCGAGGCTTTTCCAGGTAGTTGTTTGTTAGCTCTTTTTATAGAAATTTGGAACACTTTAATTTATGTTTGGAGTTGACTAATTAGATTCTGATCCTGTAAGTTCTTACACAAGTGGGTTCTTGGTAAAAATCTACTTTCAGATTTCACTGCCTTATTTGTTTCCATACTTCTTACCATGTCCCTCTTTGTGAGAGACACTGGTAATGAGTCAGGAGTCAGGTGGCAGAGTGGAGTTAAGAGGAGGGTGGCTTTTGGGAATGCCACCAGCAGCTGAACTGAAATGTTTACAGGTCTTCCCTTGATGTACACTCTTCGTTTTTATGGGTCTGATTTGGTTAGAGGGTCAGGTTAGAGGTTGGCCTGAAGTGAAAGATAGATGAGTTATGATAAAATACAAGAACTCAGTGAGAGCAGAAGGAAAGAATCATAGCCTTGTCCACAGAAATGGTAAAAATGCAAATACATTTCTGTGAACTTAAAGAATATAACTGTGCTGGAGTTTAGATTTTCTGTTTAGTACTAATAAGGTGGAAAATGCATAGCAATTAACATGGTTATAATATTATAACCAAGCTCATTTTCAAGGTCTTATTCTGGGTTCATTTTTTTTTTTAATAGTTTACACTATCATTGAAAACACAGGAAAAAAAAAAAAAAACCTGGCCAATTACTGTCATACATTTTAGCTTCTTGCTAATTAATTATGGCTTCCCAGAATTGAGTCTGTGGATCCAAACGAAATGAGCCATCCCATGGGAACTGTAGTTCCTGATTAGGTGGAAGAATTCATTTAATTTTTCAGGACTTGGTTGTTTTGTTTGTTTGTTTTGGTTTGGTTTGCTTTGTTTATTTTTGTAGCTGATTTATCTTGAGCTGGTATTTGTAAAATATGGGGTGGGCCCCTTAGGGAATCTTTCTTCATCCACACTGAAGGGAGCCATATTGCCTTCACTAGGATTGATGAATGTCCTCCTTCACGAAGGAGGATGTTTCCCTGCTGCACCCACAGGGGTGTGTTTCCCTAGTGACACGGAATTTATTTTGCTGGTCAAACCCAGCACCTACTGAAACTAGAGTAAGGCCATGTCAAGCAGACGGCCCTGGAGCATAACTGCTGTCACTCACTCCAGCTTGCAGTGTTTCCTGGGCCCCATGTTGGGATGGAGATGGTGTCATCCCCCTGATGACTGCATCTCACCACAGTGGAGTCAGCTTTCTGAACATGCTATGTGGAGTCTAGCCAGATGACTTTTCTGGCTTTGGCTCCCATGATTTTTTTTAACCCTGAGCAATCGAGAGAAATAAAACACAGAAAGGCAAAATTCACAGCTACTCCAAAAGAATCATGCAGCTGTATTTAATTGACAACCCTCTATAAGCAAACTGAGGTACCCAAGGTAGAAATTTTTGCAAGCTTCTTCTGTTTCTTTACTTTTTAGTAAAGCTTTGCTTTACTAGTTGTGTGTTTTGCATGCAGACTGAAAATATCAAAAGACTACCAACATCCTAGCCCACTGATTACATAGGACAGGAAACCACCAGATCATGCTAGTGATTAGTCTGCCAGAAGAGGTGTCACTAATATTGGGAGAGAGTTCTCTAGGATTCTCCTGCGTTTCTGCGTGTTGTAAGGGAGGTGCCTACTCTACCCTTTTGTTCTGGATGATCGTTTTAAGGAGATCATAGAGCAGATCTGCTTATTATCCAGTATCATGAAGACAGTATCCCCCTTGAGGACAAAAGGAAGGTTTGCCTACAGCTGCTTATTGAAGATCTGAGTTCCCAGGGTTCAGAGTCCTCAGCTGTGGTGCAGACCCACCACAGGTGTAGCATGTAGCTTAGTTCATCTGCTTCATCCCATAGTTGTTGGGGAGCAGGGGGAATGGCATGGTCATGACGTCCATATTTCATTCTGCCTGGGCTCTGAGTTACACAGTCCTTTGTCTCTGACCCAGGAGTCTTGTGTCTTCTTCCAGCATCCATGAGACTGTAGCATATTAACCTGTTAACTTGCAAGCAGGGTGAAGTCTCAGACCCTCCACCATTCTTGCCAATTACTCTAGTACTACAGAAGAGCCTCCTTTCATAAAAATTGGTGGAGAGAGTGCTGAAATTCACCAATGTGACATATATATTTAATACACAGAGTTGATAATTCGTATTTTCGTTTTATCACCCCATGTGAAACACTGGAATTTTCCAAATACCTATAACTTTTTATACTGTTATCTACAAACATCCCTTCCCCTCAATAAAAAGGATTTTGGCTTTTATCTGGCTGACTTCTATCTGGTATTAGAACAGTTTGTGATTTGTTAGCTGAACATCTACCAGTAGTTTTTTGCAAGCTAAGAAAAAAGATACAAATACTATCTATTTATCTGTATATGAAATACCTTCTCAATAGTCCAGCCAACTCAGCTGTTTTGGAGGAATTATTTTGTGTTATGAGCGGGATTTTTTTTTCATGTCCACAAAAAGTACTTGCAGCTAACTCAGTGTATTTCATAAGGGCCAGTCATGCCCTCTACACTTTTTGTTTAGGCAGTCAGGAATTGCTTTAAAGCTTTTTCTTAATATCCTTGAACTGACCTCTGAAGGATTTGTAAAATTTCAAAAGGTTGTGTGAAAAGGGTAGCATTCCATGTTTTAAAAAAAAAAGGGACCAATCAGTATGATGTCCATGCTGCTCCAAGGAAAGACAAGGGCTCATAGACATGATGCCAAGGACATACCTAAATAGGCGCTCATCAGAAGCACTGGACACGCCATCTATTATAGCAAGACTGTTGTCACACCGTCATCTGTGGGCCTGAAGACTGCAGGAAGGAGGACTAATAGGCCACTCGCCCCAGATAGCATAGGTTCTGGTTAACTAGCAGTTACACCGTCTGGGGCTGGTAAGACCCTTGCAATTCGGAAGAGCCTGGGCTCCAGACAGCTGGCTTTGGGACACTTCTCTGTACAGTGGCACCCTTCAGATTTTTGGAGAGTAACACATATTACCAGAGACATGGCATCACTTCCCGATGTGGTAAGTGAGGTATGTTTCAGCTGTCGTCGTCTTCTGAGAGAAGAAACAGAGTTTACTCCCTTTGCCACTGATGTCAGTATAACTCAGTGTTTCTCAAGTGTGCGGCTCCCAGGGCGACAGTAAAAGCATAACCTGCCAGCATGTGAGAAGTGCAAATCATTGGCCCTGACTCAGAACTCCCGAATTAGAGAAACCTGGCGTTGGGTCCAGCAATTTCTAGCCCAGCAGGTGTCTCCGGTGCACATCAGCGTTGGAAGCCACAGGTGTTGCTCACTGTATCTCAGGTCAGAGGAGAAGGAGCCAGTTGGGTTACAAGTAGGGAAAGAATAAATTAAGGGCGGTGCTGCCAAATGTGTAAAGGGATGATGATAGGATTTTGTTAATAAAGCTGTCGATTTTTTTTTTTATTTAGGAAAATCTATCCGATGCCTGTTCTATACTGGACACTGTTAAGATGCAAATATGAGTAAGGTATTCCACAATACCTCAGGGGTGGACCATCAGCGGTCTGTGGACAAAATCCTATTTCCTAAATGTTTTTGTAAATAAAGTTGTATTAGAACACAGCCACATATATTCATCTGCATGGTGTCCGTGGGTGCTCTTAGGCTACAATGCAGAGTGAGGAGTACAACAAACACCCCCAAAGTCCCACGAAGCCAAAAGCACTTAATATGTGGAGCTTTAACCAAAGGCAAAGTCTAGTGTTTAAAAGGAGATACTTCCCATATTCCAAGTAGTTATACTCAAATGGAGTTGGGGGAAGCGGGGAATATGAGGTGGACAAGTGTCCTTCTGTTATCCAGAGAAGCACCTGTATTGAATTTTGGCCGTAGCAGAAAACTGAACTTCATGGATGTGATTATCATGGGAGTGCAAAGACTGTTAGGCAAGAGGCAGAGTGGTTACTGTGCTCAACACCCCAGTGTATGAAGGGTAAAGGGGCGTGTGAAGAAATAGAGACATAACAAGAGGAAGAAATGAAGAAAAAGAAAAAGAAGATTTGGGTTGAGAAGGGAGAATATAAGCAATCAAAAGAATGTGACCTATGTGAAAAGCTAACTTAAGGGAGTGTGTGCAAGACAAGGCTGGAGAAGCCAATTAAGAAGAGAAGTACAGGTGTGGAACATTCCCTCTGCTTAGTGTGGGGCATGGGGCTGGAGTCTCCCAGGGAATTCTGGGACCCTGTTCGGCGGCAGAGAAAGGTTCAGGGAGCGTCTGGGGAGGGTCACACTCTGCTAATCTGTAAGTCTGCGTGTATGCACATTCTTATGTAGAGTACTGTTCCCTAGATTCCTTACTCTGGACCACATCTTTGCTGCTGACTGACCAACTGCATTGTGGTGCTGTAGAAAACTCACTGGGTTTCCCCTTAGGAAACCTGGTTACTTCCTGCTTTCACCTCTGATTGTTTGACTTTGGGCAAATCATTGCTTGGCTCGGCGGCTCCCTTTCCTCATTTGTGAGATACCATTTCAGGCTTCCTGCTGCATTCACACTGGGTTCTTCTATTAGACTCACTTATCATGGAAGGGCGTTGCTAAACCAGGGTCACCGAGCATTTCCCCAGCTCCACGGCTAACAGGGGAAAGGAAGTCAAACACAGACACTTCGACCCTCCTAAAAAGGGGATTGTTGAGTAGGGGCACAAGGGCATTTAGTTTCCTTCCAAAGAGTCGATGTGGACTTATTTCTAACTCATACCTCATAATAGATTTCCTCTCTTGCCCAAAGAGTTTGTTTAATGTGAAAATGTTTCCAGAGAGGGGGAAATGGCCAGCTGAGTTCCGTGTCTGTGATTTCTGACATAGTTCTCATCCTTCCAGGAGTTTTTCTTTAAATGTGGAGCACACCCAACCGCTGACAAGGAAACATCAGTGGCTTTGAACCTGATCACAACAAACAGTCGAGGCATCACCTGCATAACATGTACCGACATCAGGTAAGGATCTGAAGACGCTGTCACCCTCCACATGCTGCTTTCCCGTGGTGGCTTCTCACATAAGCCTCCTCAGTGGTTTCTCCTTCTTGAGGAGTGTCTGCTTTGCTTCGACGCCGTTTGCCCAACGTGGGTATATTTCACTCTCAGACTGTTCAAAGTGCCAAATCATTTGTGTGGTCAGTGGTCGAATAGGATCCCAAGATAGAAAAGAGATGACTTATGTCTAAAAGTAGTGTAATCTTAAAAAATAAACACATGGGTTGATATCGGTGAATTCTAAACGGAAGTAAAACATGAAGCTAGTGTTAGGAATGCCATGACAATTTACGAGCGCCATTTATTCCTGGAATACACGATCCATAACATTTTGTTTGAAGCAATCTCTACAGCCAATGTGGGACTCGAGCTCACAACCCCGAGATCAGGAGTCGCATGCTCTTCTGACTGAACCAGCCAGGCGCCCCAACATTTTATCTTAAAAAGGTCTCTTTCATACACTTCTGTTATTCCACGTAACTTGCCTGTATGTGTGTCGGGGCTTCGCATGTATCCATACGCCCCAAATAAAAGCATGTAGCTAGTTGGGGAAATCTCAGTGAATACAATGGAAGAAAGAAAGAACGTGTGGAGATGCCTCGTTGGGAAAACAGGGGTAATGACTAGATTTGAATTATAGCTTGGGAGGCAAGGACCGAGTGGAAAACTCTGCGCCTACTTAGTCTACAGAGTTGATGTCTGAGAGTAGAATCTCTTACTTTATGTTATTCAAATGAACAGAGTAAAAGAAATTAGCTTTAGTACATATTCTCTGCGGTCCTCTAGAAGCTCAAATTGCAAGAGCGGGGTCTTAGCCCTGATATCAAGAAGAACTTTCTGGGAAATGCCAAAACGCATTCATGAATAAAGTCAAAGAATCCTGCTTCTTGCAGACTTTTAAGCAAAGACAGATATATACCCTCGTCATTTCAGGGTTGCCTCTTTGGCCTTGGGGACTGTGTTAGGTGGCCTTTTAGAGTTAACCTTAAACTCTGGGATTTCGTGATTAGTGGTTATTAATACTTCTAACATAATACTTCTGTCCTTTAATAAATGTAAACAAAGCAGGTTGACTAATAGAATCCTAAAATCCTTAACAGCCTCAGTTGGACACACTTGTTTCCAGAAAAGGGAGAAAAATGAGACTTTTTTTTTTTTTTTTTGCTGCTGCATTTTTAGTTTCTGCTGTGAGAGAGAATTCCACAATATTGCCTAAAATGCAGCTTTTCAACATCCCTCGGTAAGGTGAATGATTGCACATGGCTAACATTTTCAACATGCAAAAACAGCTGATTCTTCCGGTCTTTCAGGGAAGGGGCTGGGAGTCCTCAACTGCTCTGAAAGCACCAGGCAATTAATTAACATCACGTCTCCGTTTTTCAAAGGAGAAATGGTTTCTCTCTAAGTCAGAATGCGGCCACCAGCCAGTATTTAAAAACCTTCCATTAAAGTTGTTAAAGATGGCATTTGGGTGTGTGGTGTTGATCGTGTTCCCTTAACTGTGGGCATAGCTCTCTGTGCTTGCCTGCCACTGAGCTAAATAGTGTCCTAGTGTCGGCTTTGTATTAGCAGCTCCTAACATCCATTCAGGGAAGAAAGCCACTTCCCAGATGCGCAGGGACAGAACTGCTGAAAAATAATACTGTCTGTGGCAATAAAATCTTTCCTAGTATTATTTTTGGGTGATCTTATAAATAGAAGCTACTGTTTTCAGTTAGACTGAAGTGCGTGTGTGTATATAACCAACCACTTGACTAGGTGAGGTCCCTTCTTGTATAAGGCAGCAGGGGGATGCCCTGTATGTAAAATAAAGAGGCCCCCTCCTCTTATACTGAAAGCTCCATGCATAGGGATGTCATAAAAGCCTACATGAGGACACAAGAGTACCTTATGTTGTACTTTGCTGATTGTTATGGTTTTTTTTCCTGCTAATGCTTTCTTTTTTAATTTAGAAGTGATTCACTCACAAAAACAAATACAAAAAAAACTAAAAATGTTAGTTGTTTACCCTCATGGTTAGCAAGATTTGGGTTTAATTCTTTCCAGTATCTTAAATACTTAAGCCTAAATATTTGCATATATATATATATATGTATATATATATGTATGTATATATGTGTATATATATATATTCACACATACATACACAGTGTGTGTGTGCATACACGCTATATGTAATCATTGTATATATAGTTTTGTATCTGGCTTTTTTCCATTTACATTGCATCATGATAAATTTTCCCTGCTATGAAATATCCCATGAAAACAAGTTTGGTTGGTTTTTTTTCTTTTTAAATAGGCAGCTGATATTTCACCATTTCTCTATTGCTGGTGATCTGAATTATTTCTAATTAAAAATATGAGGTTAAGTGGTGCCTGGGTGGCTCAGTTGCTTAAGCGTCCGACTTCAGCTCAGGTCATGATCTCACAGCTCATTGGTTCGAGCCCCTCACTGGGCTCTGCATTGACAGCTCAGAGCCTGGAGCCTGCTTCAGATTCTGTGTGTGTCTCCCTCTCCTTCCCCTCTCACGTTCTGTCCCTCTCTGTCTCTAAAAAAAAATTTTCAAAATCTATATTAGACTAACTAACATTTAAATTTATATCCTTTTCCAGAAATCATTGACTGCATGTTTTGAATCTAAAAATAGTGTCCTAGAAGTGGTAACAAAAGGTCAATGTTCATGGACATGTTTAAGGTGCCTGATGCATATTGCCAAGTTTATTTCCCTTGTAGACTATGGTTGCCTGTCTTCGAGACGGCTTCCTGCTGCATCTTCAACACTATTAAATGTTCATACTTTTAGTTTTTGCCCATTTGCTAAAGAACATTAATTTTGTCATTAATATTTTTTTAATTTAAAAATTTTTAAGTAAAAAAAATTCTTTGAGAAAGAGCGCATGCACACACACATGTGAGTGGGGGAGGGGCAGAGGGCGAGAGAGAGTACACGTGTGTGTGCGCGCACCCATGGGCACGGAGCCTGGTGTGGGGCTGGGTCCCATAACCCTGGGCCATAGTCAAGAGTCAGATGCTCAACTGATTGATTCACCCAGAAGCCCCAATATTTTTTAAAAATTGTTATTAGCAAGTTCGAGCATTTCTCCCTTGCTTGTTTGCATTTTTTTTTTGCATTTTCTATTGTGAGACAAAAATGCAAAACTTTCTCAATATGAAATTTTTTGAAAAAAAATCTAAAAAAAAAAACCTGGCCTCTGCAATTACTTTCTCACTCAATACATAATATCAGTGTGTCCTTTATTAATATGACATTTCCTGACCTGTGAATTTACATTTAAATATATTTCCTTGGTTTTGGTTTTGAAATATCACATCTTCCTGGAAATAAGTTATTTAATTACAGAATTGAAAATAAAAATTTGGGGTATCTATATTTTACGTTTCTTTTATTTATTTTTGCGTGTGCCTTAATCCTACATCATTAGTCAAATTAGGCATAATTAACTACATAATAGATTAAAACCAGAGGGTTAATTTCAAATTCCACTTATTCGTTGCTGGTATATGGGAAAGTGATTGACTTTTGCATATCAGGCTGGTATCCTGCAACCTTGCTATAACTGCTTATTATTTCAGGAATTATTTTGTGGGTTCTTTCAGGTTTTCTACATAGATTATTATGTCATCTGTGAACACACATGGTTTCATGTCTTCCTTCCCTATCCATTTACCTTCACAAGGTAGTTACCTTCCATTCCTAGTTTTCAGACAGTGTTTATCATGAATGGGAGTTGGACTTTGTCAAATACTTTTTCTGTATCTACCAATATTATATGGCTTATCTCTTTTAGTCTGTTATTTAACCTGTTTTAGTTTGTGTTGATTACATGAATTTATTTTTGAATGTTGAATCAGTTTGCATACCTGAGTTCAGTCCCACTTGACTATGGCATATATCTTTTATGCTTTTTTGTATTTGATTCATGAATATTTTGCTGGGGATATTTGCATCTTTGCTCAGGAGAGAGATGGTCTGTAGTTTTCTTATATTGTCTTTGTCTGGTTGTAGCTTTAAAGTAATTGTGGCTCATGGCATGTGTTAGGAAGTATTCATTCTGTTTCTGTCCTTTGAAAGAGTTTGTAGAGAATTAGTAGCAAGGTAAAAATTTTATTTATTGTTGTGCTGTACAAACATGTACTTTTGTGTAAAAAGAGATTGACATCACTTTCGTCTACCTTCTTAACAATACTTCTCAACAGGTGTATAATAACTTATATTCAAGGGTCTCCAGTGCCACTAAGCTAACTTTTTGACCTTAGAAAAATAACATAATCTCTTGGGCCTTCAGGTTGCTTACAAAATCCAAGAATTGGAATAGGTAATCTATAGGGCTCTGACTGGTTTTAAAAGCTTGCAAAAGGTAGGAGCAATGCTTTTTCACAGCTTATAAATCGATAGTACCATTTGAGAAAACACTCATTTGTGGTCCTGCCTGCTGACAGATGCAGGAATAAAAGATGAGGTTTTCAGTGACACTCCCTTCCAGAGCCCACATATGTGGTTATGATATGTACAAAATATATATAAGATAGCGGTGTTCTTCCTTTCCAGATGTTAGGCTGAAAATTTCATTCAGGTACACAGTTTGTGTCCTTTTGATAAGGGAGTGGGGGGCAAGCTGAGGGCAGAGGACAGGCTAACAGCGCCTCTCTGCCACCAGGTGGGATCTGTGTGATATTCCTCGGACACTCCTGGCTACCCGAGAGCAAAGGAAAGAGGTTTAACTGCTTGCCATGGTGATGTGGGAAGCTAAGGCAAATGAAACGTTAAATTTCCTTTACTGCCTATAGCCCATAGACAAGTCCTTGAAACAGGCCGAGTGACCTCCTTCTAGGAGCTCAGCTGCCTTGAAGATGACACTTGGCTGGGGCAAAAGGGAATCTTAGCTTAACATTATCCTGACTCCCAAGATCCTGTAAGTCTACTTTAACATATAAAAATTCC